TGGGGAGTAGACAGAGAGGTGGGTGCAAAACTTCTCAATGTATACTTCTTTTATTATTTTGACGTCTGAACCATGTAAATGTACTAATTAATCCTCAAAAGTGAGTAAGTAAAATTAATATGGCATTAAATGGCCTTATTCTGTGTATGGAAATAATACCAGTCTATTAATAATTGAGAAATTCTGCAATTAATGTCAGAAATATTGCAATTAATATACCCAACCCCTCCACATGCAGGAGAAACTAGCTATGCACATTCCAGCATTTCCTATTGGCCCTTCCTTCCCCTAGCCACAGTAAGCCAGGTGTTCCAGGCCTATCTACACAGCTTCACTGAGCCTTTCCTGCGTAAGCTGCCAGTGAGGGTATAAATGATCAGTGATGACTCAATGCTCCCACTACCACACAAATACAGGACACAAAAAGGGAATAAATGCCAATCGGTGGACCAACAAACAACAAATCATCTACTTTCTTTCCTAATCTGTGCTGAAACTGGAGACTTAGTAACAGTGATCCTAGTCAAGGCTGGTTTTTCTGAAATTCAGTTTGGCCTCAGAACCTCTGAAAGATAAATATCCATCCCCTGCCCTAGCCAAATCAGTGAGTCAACACTCAACCTTCTATGTGTAGACACAACTATGCATAAGAAATGCCAGGCATATTCCTTTCCATAACTTTCTTCCTGAATGTCAGGGATCCAAATAACAGAAGACATGCAAAAGTGCTAAGAGTATAGATTATGAAAATGTAAGGTATTACTTGAATGATTTGGTCATGTAACAGGGTATTTTCCCATAGGAAATCACAAAAATTTTATATTAATGTATTTTAGTTGAAAAATATACTTTGTAAGATTTTCTGGGATATCGTCATGATAAGCTGCAAAAAACAGAAAAATGAGCAAAGCGTATATATCAAAACCAAGGGAGGCAAATTTTCTAGGGGTATAAAGAAATACCCCAATTTTAAAGAAACAACTAGAATTTAGAGCAGAAGTGAAAATATGAAATATAGAATTCAAAGCCTCTTTGCCAGTGTAATCATAAAAATACATTGTAACTAATCATAAAATCTCTACAGTGTTTTTCCACATGCTCAGGACTAACAGGAGAAAATCAAAGTTGGAAGAGCTCTTGGAGGTTGCCCAACTGACTGCCCACGCAAGGAGAAATCCCTTTTTCAAAATCCACATAATGAAGAGCAACTTCCACAAAATCAAAACCCAGCTTCAAATTTCTACAGACAAGGGGCTAACTACCTCTTACAGTGGCATCAGCACCTTTGACTCTTGGACAGTTAGTTCCCATTCTAAGAACCTTGACACCTCTCCCCTGCCAAGCCAAACTGGCCTAGGGAAATGGATATATTTTGTTGCTAAAGGAAAAAAAGCAACTTGCCTTGTAAAACCATTCTGTATAAGTTCTCTTTGAAGTTTCTGATCTTGAGCAGCATATTCAGAAAGTTCAGATTCCACAGCCGGAGGGAGAATGTTTGGAATAAATTTAGAAAATAAAGTTGGAGCCATCTGAACCCACTCTGTGAGGGAACAAAAAGATTCATTAAGAAAATCATATAGACAAACTAAATGAAATGCAAAAGGGAAAGTTTTCTTTTGTTCAAAGAGTCAAAGTATATTAAACTGGGAAATTTAAAATGGGAAAAAATTAATGCAATCTCATTCTGGTAAAGAACATAACAAAGAAGTCAAATTT